ATCTGCTGGGGAAGGTTTGTGTCATGGGGGACAAGTGGTAGATGGGAACTGGGAGCCTACACCAGCAGACGCAGCATAATCCAGTATATGGCTGAGGAAGTGGTAGTACAGGAGACACGGTGGAGGTCAGAATAAGAGACTGTATGGTCAACTTAGATTTATCAGGAAAAAAGGAGGAAAGGGAAGAACATTTAAGGCAGGAGATGTATCCCTAAAGGATCCAGGAAAACCTACTGAAATTTCAGGAACCAGTAGTTCAGATGAGCAACAGTCCAAAAAGTTCTAGATACGTAGCTGTGAAGCAAGCAGGGCCCAGATCATGTATAACCAGTAAACCACCAGAAAGTTTACCTTGCTTGGCCCATGGGATAATGGGAGGGTCCTGGTATGGCATTGTAGCATAAACACTTGACTGCTAACCATAAGAGCAGCCGTTCAAATCCACGAGCTGCTCCTCAGAAACCCTATACAGAGTCGCTATGAGTCAGAACCGACTTGACAGCACTTAACAACAAGAGGTAATGGAAAGTCATCAAAAGTTTTTAAGGAAGACTAACGACTTCAAATTTGTGCTTTGAAGACCTTTCCCTCTGGTCTTGAACAAGACTCCAAGCAAACTACATTTGCCATTCTTGAAACCTTTGCCTGCCCCAAGTCAAAAAAAGAAGAAGAAGAAAGAGAGAAAGAGACATTGTAAATGACTGTCATACCTCCAATTTTTTTTTTCAATTAAATATATTATATGAAACACACAGAAGGTACCTACAATTGTGAGAAACTCTAAACTTGGGAAGAAATTTGAGAATAGCTTTTTTTAGAAGACTGTGTACATCAGACCTGTTAGATCATATTTTCCTCATAGTTATGTCTAAAGTTGGGTATTTCCTTAAGAAATATATGAATTCTTTTTTAAAAATGGGTATAAGAAAAAGGTACACTATTCCTCTTTACAAGGGCCATGTCAATCTGACAGCCTCAGAATGCCTGCCAAAATGAAGTCTTAAAGATGGAAACTAGTGTATTAGGTATCCAGGGTAAATATTCCAAAATGCACATTAACTTTATGGCAGCTTTTGTTAGTTAATGAAGCCATTATGCTGTGATGTTTAAAATAGCCAGGTATTCTAAACCTCATATGAACATGTTTTTCTAATACGACTTCAAAACATCTTTTTATTTCTGTACTTTTCTGTATTTCTGTAACGAATTATTAATCTTATAGACAGAAAAAGACATTTAAAAGGTGGGAACTGATTACAGGTCTTTATTTCCAAACCAAAACTACACTGAAAACTGAACTTGTCTTGAAAAAGCACCCAGCCCTTCCCCTAGAGAACCAACCCTTGCTGGAACAGTAAAGCACCAACGCATTAAGAACTTTGAAGCTATCCAATTACTGCCCACAACTGCATTTCCTCATTTGCTCAGAGACCACCAAACCTTGCCATTTCTCAATATAATGAATCAGACAATCCACAATCATACTTTCACCCACCTCACAAATCAGACAGAGCTAGTCTATTACCTAAAAGCCATTTGGACAGATGGAGTTCTGGTGTGGCAGTTCAAATTCACCAGCTGCTCCTCGGATCTCTATACAGGGTCTTTAGGAATTAGAACCAACTCCATGGCACTTAACAACAACAATTTAAACAGGCATTTAGGGGAAGGTTTCTGACTCAAAAAGGGGACTTGGTTGGTTTTTGTTTGTTTGTTCCCCCAACTCCAAAGAAGACAGACCGAACTATCTTTAATCTACAGCCTGGTTCTACTGCCGATGTCCTAGCTGAAATTGAATAATCACTCAAAGTATTCCATTATAGATGTTTTTGTTGTTAAGTGCCTCATATCAAGTCGGTTCCAACTCACAGGGACCCTGTATAGGGTTTCAGAGGAACGGCTGGTGGGTTTGAACCACCGACCTTGCGGCTCAAACTAACCTTGCCATCCAGCACATTTTCCTGCAGCGCCATACCCAGACTCCATTCTAGATGTAAATCCCCAAATAAAATGAACTGGGATCAAGTCATAGCACCCACATGCACCAGGCACTTGTAGATAGATACAGGTGCAGAGATTCCTCCCCATAGATAAGCTCACGTCTCTCACACAGACGCTGTGAGGGCACAGGTCTGTGGAAGCAGTCCTTTAATAAATTGGTAGTTTCAATCAGAATAAGCACTCACATCCCAATAGAGAGACAGGTAAGACCACTAGATCAGAGCTTCCAGCAGCCTTTTGACTTGGCTAAATTAGAGACAGTTCTGTCTTTTCAAAAGGAATCCTGAGGTCACTGTTAGGTAAGCACTAGGCTGCTGATCGCAAGGTCAGTAGTTCAAAATGACCAGCCATTCCTCAGGAGAACGATCAGAATGTCTGGTCCAGTACAGATTTACAGTCCCAGAGTTTTCTTCTCTGGGATGTAGCTGATTAGCAATGTGACTTCATGAACATGTTCAAGTTAAAGGAAAGACATCTAGAATCACCTTTTGTGAACCTGAAAGTCAATATAATTGGAGGAACTGGAAAGTTAATATAATTGGAGGAGCTAAGAGCTAGCAAGACTAGTAACAGGAATATGGCACTGTCTTCTCCTGAAATTAACTAAAACAGTGAAAATCTAACAAGGCCTTCATTTAATTAAATATCTAGGCATTGTCACAAACTTCCTAGGCAGGTACTTGCAAATGCAATGTTTAAGTCAGAATTATCAGGGATTCTGCATTTAACTTTGTCTTTTAACATTTACCCTTAAACTTGGAGTCACGGGTCACTTCTTCCAAATTACAGACCTGAGAATTCAAATCTTATCCCACTACAATCTGGATCTTACATCCATTCACAAAACCCTCACAATCTTAAATTTCTTCTCAATAACTCTCATACAGCTCCTTACTAACACCTGCCAAGTACTAGGAAGGAGTGAACCCAAGGACTTTATTAGCCGTCCTGAAAATATTAATCAGAGACAAGAAAAGAACCGATTAAACAAGTAAAAGGTTTCTAATACTTGTAGGCTGTCACCTAAAACAATTTTAAAACTTTACTCAATAAGGCCACAGAACACTTCATAAAGTGTATTTGGTTGGATGTCAGTTTAAGTTGAGGGTTAAATGCTAAGGAATAAAGCCACCACCTTACACACTTTTCAAGCCAAATATTCCGAAGTCTCTGACCTTATACACTAGGAATGAGCATATTTGCTCATGTAAAGCCAACATGTTTGTGTACAATTTACAGACCTACTTATAATATGGCCTAAGTATCAAACAGATAACCCTTTCATAGTCTCTCAGCCCACTCCAATCCCTCCCTCCCAAACAAACAAAAACAGCCTGAATTGCTCACTGTATGCAAGACACTAGAGGTTACTTTTCATATAAGTTTTATAACTTTCAGTGGTTTAAATTTTCCAAGAGACCAGCCTTCTCATTTAAGAACTCAAATCTTAAATAAACTGCCTTAACCAACGTCTCCCTCTTCTCAAACCCCAACTACTCAGCAGAAACATCTCTCTGAGCCAGAAAAGCCTGCATAGAAGGCTTGGAAGCTGTCTCTGCAAATTCCTCCCCCTTCCTGCCATAAGGGCACTTCAAGAACTTTATAATCGGGAGATACACGAATGTCGCTCTAATTTTATCCACCAGGACTACATCTGAGCACAGAAAGTGTCTTTTCACAATCTACTTTCTAATTAGGCTGCTAATCATATTGAAACTTGGGTGGAAACCTGTTTTCAAGACAAATTAAAAATCCAATTCCGTGTATGAGGCAGTGTTAGGGGAATTACACACTCCCTCACTAAACTCTTTTTTCCAGATACAGGGTCAGCCTCAACTACCCCATTTCATTCCCAGGCTGTGATCTTCCAAGGTTCACTCTAATCAGTTACTTTGCAAGCCGCTCAGGCAATTTTCTTGACATTTCCTCTGCTCCTGGCTGCGATACTATTTTGATTAGAATGGAGGTGTCTGTATAAGGATTCTGCATGTTAATGATGTGGTGAGCTGGCAGGGATGTTAGGTGAGAACACACTGTGTACTTTATCCAGTTATGTTTTGCTTCATCACCCTACAGTAAGGGGTCTTTCCAAAGGCCAGCTACATCAGGAGAGAGACCTACATACCTAATCTTACACTTTCCCTGGAAGCTTTGAGGGTTCAGGTGGAAACTGAATGGATGATCTTTTCCTTCCTCAAGTGTCTACACTCAGAGGCAAGATACCCCTAGGCACTCCACCACCAATAAAGCAAAGGCACGTATAATTGTTCAGCTAGTCACAGCCGCCACTCTTCAACTGGGTTGCAGTCCTAACCCTCATCAGGCCACTACAAGATGTTGTATGTTATCTCACCGCTCTACGACTACGCCCATCAAACCCCCCAAAGGAACACGCTTCCAACCCAGGTGGGTGCACCAACTCCGGTACCCGCCCTTCCCTCTCCATCCTGGCTAGAAAACTCCACTTCCCGGATTCCTGGCCACACTCTCCCGCCCCCTCCCCGGGCGGTCCAGCTAGAGCCGTCCAGATGCCAGCTAAGTGCCCAGCCCAGCCGCGCACCCCAAGCCAGGCCCCTGGAACAGACCCCAGCTTCCTCCCTATCAACTAGCCTAGGGTTGCCCAGATTCTCGACGTACCCCCTCAGGCGTGCGAGAATTGAAGAAAGTCTCACCCCGCCCCCCAGCCACGCCGCCGGCCTCCAGCCCGGAGCGGCCCCCTCCCCAGAAGCAAAAAGCGACTGCGAGTGGTGGCCCCAGCAGTATTCCCCCTCACTCGGCGACAGGCATGGACCTCCCAAGGAAGGGACACCCGCCCGCTCCCCCGCTCCCCCGGGGGCCGGCAGGTCTCCGAAACAGGGAATGCTCCGTGAGGGTCCCCGAGAGCCCCGGAGAGTCCCAGGGAGCCTTGAGGCTACCCGGATCGGGGTGCAGCCTCTTTCGGGAAGAGGGGTGGAGGGAAAGGAGGTAAGCGCTGCGGGGCGTCCCCGGGGGGCACTCACGATGGTCACGCTGGCTTTGCGCAGGTCGCGGTTCTCCTCCTGCAGCGCCTTGCACTTGAGTTTGTAGGTCTCCAGCTCGATCTTCAGCACCTTGTTCTCCTGCTGCAGCGAGGCCAGGCGGTTGGTGAGCTCCTCCAGGCGGAACGGCGAAATGACAATACCCCCAGACTTCCCACCGCTGCCGCCTCCGCCGCCGCCACCGCCGCCCGAGGTCGACGAGCAGGACGACTGCATGGCGGCCGAGCTACTGCTGTTGCCCCCCGCCCCATCCGTGTCGCTCTCGCTGGCGCTGTCCGCCATGGCCGCGGCGGGCTAGGGAAAGGAGAAGGAAGAGGAGCAAGGAGGCGGCAGCGGCGTTGGCCGGGCTGCGAATGAGTGGGCGCCGGGCGAGCACAGGGGAGCGCCGAGCTGGGCGCCTGGCACCAGGGCGCAGACTCGGAGCGGTAGCAAGAGAAAGAGAGGGAGCTTCCCGCTGCCAAGGGACCTCCTCTGCCAGAGAACAGAGACCCCGCCCGGGCTCGGGCAGTATTGCACTGGGGCTTGCTCCAGCTGGGCCTGGCGCGCTCGTTAGGCCGCTCTGAAAAGCTTGTCGAAAGCTCCAGGACCCGCCCGCATCCGCAACACGCTGGGAACCCGCGGACACTGCCGGTGGAGGAAAACCAAGACAGCCTCCGCGCCACCAGCTCTCCGGCCACACGTGGTCCGGGGGAGGGCCTCTGAGCCCCCTGACCTAAACCCGTGGCCGCCCAGCCTCTTCCGGGATCGCGCCTGCTCTGGAGAAAAAGAAACCCAATACCCCAACAATCTCGCAGGTGCTGGGGACACGTGGAAAAGTCTGCCTCGCTCCGGCATCCAGCCCCGGCGAGCCGTGCAGTGGCCCCATCTTCCGCCTGCTTTGTGTGTGTGCGTGTCTCCCTCTGTCTGTTTCACATATATTCGCAGCCGTTGCTGTTTGATCTTCCCAGTGAACAAAGTGCTTGACTGGGAAGCTTTGGCTAGATCTAAGAGAACAGAAAGTTCCCCTACAAGAGGCCCAATGGGGTGAAAGCAGCTGCCACAGGTTAACCTCGTTAAGAAAGAATTTCACACTCCTCTTCTTAAATATTTTAGGAAACGCTCAATTGTTTAAACGAGGTGCAACTTTTTTTTTGTTTTTTGCTTTGTTCATCTTGCACATATTATCAGCATATGTCATGCGGTAAGATTAAGGCACTAAGATTTAATCAAACATAAAAACCTCTTGAAAGAATTGAAACACAGCTTTAAGTGCCAATTTCCTAGTCATTGCCGATTTAGCATATTATGCTGGTCAAATGAGAAGACATTACTGTCAGTCTTGCCCACTAATAGAAAACGTTAATAGGTTAAGAAATTATATGGATTAATTACTTTAGTATGGAGCCAAGAAGGCTTAAAGGTTAAGAGCTGTCTGCTAACTGAAAGAATGGTGGTTCTAAGTCACCCAGCAGTTCTGCTCCCATAAAGATTACAATTACAACTCTGTCACATGGACTGAGTTAAAATTTCAATGGCACCAAACAAGCATCTTTGAAGCATAAGAAATTTAAAACCAAATATGTTATTTTGCCTCCCCATTCCCAAAGAAACGCTGGCAGGAAATTGGCCCAGCAGGTGAGCTAATTCTAAACACTTTACACAGTTAACACAAAACAGCTTTCACTTATGTATAAAATTTGGAAAGTGAAACTGACCAGACAAATTTTATTATTCAAACTTAGTCAACGGAAGAATAAACGTATGGAAACAGAAAATGGGGTAGGAGTGGGGGGAGCTAGTGTAAAAGACAAGAAAATCTATTGCTTTGAACTTTTTGAAAGATTTTTAAATGTTACGAAGGATATTGAGGTGGCTTAAATGATTTTTATTCCTATTATCTTTTCATTTAAATTTGATCTAATGATCAAAGTATTATTCAATGGCTAGTGGAAACTGGTATCTTGGAATAAACTGTAAAACTTCCAAGTGTTTCAAATGACATCATCTTTTACTAAAATGGCTGCTCCTAGCCGACAGCTCAGAAATGTCAACTACAATTAAACTCCAAATTCCTCCTAGGTAATTTTTAGTTTCCTGCTAGATTTCTGAATTTAGTCTGGGGAGAGGCGTGGCTTTGCTCTTCAGAAACATACAGACAATCTAAATAATTCTGTTATAAGTAATTCAGCTTAATTTTCACTGCTTTATTTTTCTCTCCGACTTTTCCTCTTAGGGATCTGGAACATGAGATAAGCAGCTCATTAAATTGGGAACGACTTATGGAAAACTCACTTGCTGGATGAAATGGAACAGTGAAGCTAGCAGGGAGTAGCACCGAGGAAACTCAGATTTAACAGCATTCTTTCCACTTTATTCAGCACCTGATAGAATCTTAAAAGTGGGTCTGGCTTTCATACTTCACAAATTTCTATTGTTCCCAGTCCCATAGGCTTTCCCTTTTAGAGATTATTGCAACAGCAACATTCCTTTCAGGCAGAGCAGGGGGCAAATTGGCCTCTCTCTTAGCTTTATCACCCACTAGCCGCTCAGCAAAGGCAGCTTGACTGCTTAAAGTCAGCAGAGGGGTGGAGTTTGAAACGCCGGGCTTTCTTAAAGGGCCCGCGTCTTGATAAACTTAAGAATGTCTTGGTCTTCAACAGGGTTTAGAAGAAGTCTGCATTTTTTTTTTTCTTAGTACTTGTAGGCAATAATCGTGTTTATGAGACTTCTAAGGCTTTCCTGGTGATGCAGATGGGAATAAACGAGTGTATTTTTTTCACTGTGGTTTTGTTATTGCAAAGCAGAAGCATGTCTAATTTTCTACTTCTTTTAAAAGTGATTCCCCGTATAAACAGACCATTTATCACAACATTGGTTCAGTAATAGCATTATAATGGAAACACCAGTTAAAAAACGAATACTATCATTCTAAAGCTCCTTCTCAGCTTTCTCAGGGAAATGAATCAGAAGAATAAATCGCAGCAGTGTGTGGTGCCCTGAGGAAAGAGGAGCAAATGTAGAGAATTACTTCCATCGGAGAAATATGAAATTTAGCTTTGTCCTAAATCCAACCTGACAAAAAATGTAAGAAAGAATAGTCAATTATTCCTGTTGTCTACTAGCAAGGCACAATATCAAAATCTTTCTTCATCTCAAGCTACTTTTTCCCCTGGTTTACTCTATGTCTTTGAGCTTTCATGTTTTCAGCAGTGAAATAATGTTATAAATAATAGGGAAATTTTGTTGTTTAATTTTTAATAGATCACTGGATTCAGTACAAGGTTGGCAGTTCAGACCTACCAGCTGCTCCTCAGAAACCCTATACAGGTTCCTTGTGAGTTGAATCCAACAGCACTTACTTAACAACAAACAACACAAATAAATTGAAAGAGTCACCCATGGTAGTGCAATGGGTTACTAGTTGGACAGCTAAGCATAAGGTCAGCAGTTCGAATCTACCAGTCACTCCTTAGGAGAAAGATAAGGCCTTCTGCTTCTTTTAAGATTTATAGCCTCAGAAACCCTATACAGAGTTACTGTGAGTTGGAACCGGTTATAAGGCACTTAATAACAACATAAATTGCATATCTCTACTCTGGTAGAGTAGTGGTTACGAATCGGGCTGCGAACCTTAAGGTCAGCGGTTCGAAACTACCAGCCGCTCCGCGGGAGAAAGATGAGGCTTTCTACTCCCGT